AGGTGGGGGACGGCCCACGCCATGATGGGCGTGGCCGCCGGCTCCCGGTGAGTTGGCACTGGGCTCAGAAGACACAGCCTGTCCCCTGCCCGCGCTCCTTCCAACACATTCACACCTTCCGGGCCCTCTCCAGCCTCTTCCGCGTGCTGCCCCAGCGGTCGGATTTCCATGCGCTGTTCTGGAGCGCAGTGTCCGGTGGATCGAAGGAGGCATCGCTGGAGAGCCCCACATTCCCTGCGGGGTCTGTTCGGAGTGAAGGGAGGCGCCTCGAACATCCCCTGCCATCTCCTTCTAGTTTCCAATTAAACCCAGACTGTGCAAGCGGCAGCTCGCGCGTCACGGGCTGGCACTGCGGGGGAGGGAGCCGAGACCGGAGGGGGAGGGGAAGGCTTGAAGACAACAGCTACAGCGAAGATCTGTCATCGGCGATTGTCTGCTCACTCACCGTGCGGGGACTGTCTGAGCGCTCCGCCGGGATTGTCTCCTCTCCCTTGTCACAATAAGTCTACCGTGCGACGTCATATCACGGTACTATCCCCATCTGGTGGATAACGAAACTGAGGTCAGAGGAAGTTAGTAACTCGAGGAGGCCGGCATGCAGTAACTGGCTTGCATCGCACTGGTAGCTGTGTGGCTTGGGCGAGTGGCTTGCTGTCTCTGTGCCTCTGTTGAGTGAGAATATCTAGTATTCACAGGGCTTTGAGCGGCCAGGTGAGATAAAGAGGATACCAGGGAGCAGATCCAAATCTCAGAACAGTGACAGACTTGTAAGAAGCTTTCAAAACGAGATTGATATGATGTGTATCCTTCAAGGCTTAGCTCAAATGTCCCTTCTCCCAGGAAGTCTTCCAGGGTGCCTTCCTATCCCAGGCAGAGGTTTTTTTCCTCCCCTCCTGCAGCTCCAGATTTGTACTTTTTTTTTATAAGGTTTATTTATTTATGCATACAGAATTGTGGTACAGGCCAGAGATGATGCAGGGGCAGTGAGAGGATTCACCAGAGACAGTGAGGAGCAGAACAGACCAAATGATGAAGCACACTGCTGAGGGGAGCAGCGGGAGGGTCAGGAGAGGTCTGCCGCCCCATGTGGGTCACCTCCGGGGCGGGGATCGAACTCATGCTAAAGTGGCTTTCGCTTCTTAGTGCCCTGCTTTAACCCACTGTGCCTGTACTTTTTTTTTTTAATGAGATAATGTGACCGGAAAGGCCTGTTCCAGGGAAGATACTTCATGTGCTATTTCTTCTCCTGGGTTCCTTGTTTACCTACCTTCGAGTTCTTGGGAGGGCTGGTGCCTAGTCTGACTCACCCTGGCCAACCCGGGCGGGGCACCAGTGGGAAGGCCCCTGCCGAATGAGCGTGGGGCCAACACCCAGACTGTTGGGACAGGGAGGGCCCAATGCCAGGGTCTGCTTCCTAGTCTCTCTCAACTTCCCACCTAGCACACAGCCAGGCTGAGGAGAGATTCAGAACTCTGGAATTCTCTTCCTGACTTATCACTGCCTGCTGAGTCCTCCAGTTTCCAAAGAGGACTCAGTTTCCCCATTTGGGAAATAGGTCTAGCAGAACTGACTCCAAGACTTATCAGTCCTACAGCCTTCTTTCAGGGGGACACTGGGGGGTGATTCAACATTGGATCCAGAACAGTGGTAACTCCAAAGGCAAAATGTCCCCCTTTATCAGCCCAGATTCTTGCTAGATCAGTCATCCCAACTGGTCACCTGATTTCTACAGGTGTCCTGGCTCCTTCCCCCCACCCCCACCCCACCTGGATGGGAGCTTTCGGCTGGATTTTTTCTTCTAAGATCCTACAGAGACCTCAAATTGGCTATCTAGGTTCCCAGAGTCCCCTAACGGAAGCTGGTGGGGTGGGGGGCTACTCCTGCAGCCACGTGGGGTGCCAGCCAAACAGCCACCCAGCCTTCTCTGTCCATCTGTGGAGCTGAGCAGGAAGTCACACTCCCAAGCAGCCCTCCCCAAGCCCCCAGAGTTCCAAAGTCTGTGGACTTTGCCAGCCAGGCCCGAGGGAGCCAGGCCTGTCACCTGTCCAATATCCGGCATCATGCAAGCCTGTGGCTACAGTCCCCAGACTTTCTGATGCCCTTTCCTAACTGTTCTGAGAAGTTTTGACCTGCAACTGGCAGAAGGCCTAGGTGTCCTAGGACAGCGGCCCTCAAAGGGGGACAGATGACCCAGTGAGTAGTATGACACACTGGACACCAGCTAGGAGGGCTTGAGAGCACCCAACCTGGCTGTCGTGGGGGAGGGGACCCTTTCCTGGGTTGTAAGAATTACCCAGAACAGTCTGTGAGGCACCAACATCATTCCTGGCACATAGTAAGTGCTCAGGAATGGTTTTGCTCCCCCTCCCCACCTCGCTCTGAGCGCCTTAAAGATAAGCTCGCCAACTTCTGCGTGGTCTGACAGCCAGGGATGCACACAGTGGCTGCTTCATAAAGCCTTAAGTGGGAGGGGAGGCTGACTTCAGCGTTTAAAAGCAGAGGTTTTAAAATCCAGCCAATCTGCGCTTACAAGATGGCCATTCTTGGGCCAGTGAATTACCCTGTCTATGCCTCAGTTACCACATCTGTAAATTGGGGATAATAATAGCTCATTGGATGGGTGTGCGGATGGAATGCAGTAGCGATCAGGCATTGGCAGACTGGCACAGCAAGTTCTCAGAAAGTGTCGTGGCCATCACCCCAGACCTCCCACTGGGCCTGACACTGAACTCACGGGGCAGCTCAGCCCTGAGACGAACCTGAGGACAGGGCCGGGCCCAGCCCTGAATTCCAGGCATGGATGAAATGACCATACGTCAGCGGCCAGTGCCACTCCAGATTGCTGAGCAGAGGGAATCTGGGAGTTCACATCCCCGTTGAGAAATCTGATAGGGAGATGTTAAGATCGAGCTCCTGTGCCCCAGTGGGCCCCACTGACCAACATTGGCTGGTCCCCCTTTCTTCTGAGATGCTGGGCTGGGGAGAGCCCACAACCTGGTGTAGAGAGGGCTCAGCAGGGACATGTGGCATCTGTTCCTGCAGGCTCCGGCACCTTTTCCAGCTCTCTGTCCAGGAGTGCCCCTGGGACTTGAAATCAACCGTGGTGGGAAGATTTACATGATGGGAATTGGCAAGCGTTACAAATCAGGGTGGGGTCATCAGTTAACAGCACACCTCTGGTCCAGGGACTCCCTGGACACATAGCCCTCTGGCCCACTCCTGAATTCAACCCTCTGCCCCTTCCGTTCCTTCCATCTGGAAAGTCTATTTCTTTTCCCATCTATGTCCTTATTTGAGTCTTACTGAAACAATTAAATAAAGATGGTGAGAAGAGGGGTGCAGTGAAATAAAATATAGGCAATCTAATATCAATGTGGTGGAATATTATACAGCTATTGAAAAGGATGCTCACAAACACTAGTGAAGGCTAGGGAAAATGCCCCCCCAAAAAAGATATGGGAAAAATGCCTTAGGCTAATATAACCATATGTACATGTGATCTGACACCAAAATAGTATATTTAAGTTTTTTTATTCAGCAGCAATGTGTTGGGCAACTACTGTGTATGAGGCGGGGGGATTCAGTGAAGTACAGCACACCCCAGCTTTTCTCTTGTGGGGCTCTCAGTAGGTGGAGAAACAGACATAAGTAACATATTCCCAGAGGTAGGAAGTGACAGGAAGCCGGGAAGCCGGCAGGAGCAGAGCTGGAGCTGGAAAGAGCTGGAAAGCTTCCTCAGACACAACGTGAGGTGTTTTTTCTCAAATCAGAAAATACTCTGCGCTTCCTCTGGCCTCCTGGAGCACCACTGCCCGGCCTCCCGAGCCTCTCAGAAGCCTTGGAAGCAGCTGGGCAAAGACAGCCCACCCCCACCGCCTTGGCACTGCTAGGTGACCTTGGGCTCTTGCTCTCTTGTTTTGTGGTGATTTACATGCTCGTCTTATCTCCTAAATGTCAGGGACAATGTCTGATTCATGCCGCCCTCCCACACTACTTGGCACATGAGAAAGATTCAAAACACACTCTCGGGTTAAATAGAATCCAGTTCCCCGTGAGGGCTGGGCGCAGGCTGCTCTCATAACACATTGCTTGTCACCTCCTTTCTCCCCCTGGTGCCTAGGACAAGAGCTCAATCACACCAACTTCCCACCTCCCCTATCCATCCCTCCCCCCAAACTGGAGGTGAACGCTGCGGGTTAGACCTCAGCTTCCCCTGCTCGAAAGGAAGCGACACCATCCCTACAGCGGCCAAGACTGGGGCCCAGCAGACAGGTCTGGCCCAGGTTGGGAGCATGTTCTTTGTCTAGGGAAACACAAAGCCCCATTTATGCCACTGGGCACGATTCTGGGCAGGGAGCCACGTGGGACAGGAGGCAGCGCTGGGAGGAGCAGACAGGATTTCCAAAACCCCCTCTTGCAGGCTGGCTGCTGAGAAAGCAGGGCCTTGAAAATCTCCTCCTCCCTGGCATGCAAACAAGGTATCCATCTGTTTGTGCACACCCCTACTTCCTCCTTCCTCAGCCCTATTCCCCCAAGGATCCCTCCTCCCACCCCACCTTGGAATGGAGAAGTAGGAAAAGGAAAGCCACTAGAGCGTGCAGCGTGGGGAAAGTGGATATTTCCAGAGCTGTGGGTCTGTGGCCAAGGGCAAGCCTCCCTGAGACATGTGCCCGGCTGGCCTCAGCAGTTTCAGGGTGTAACAGAGACGGGCAGAGACGGGGCCCTCTGCCTCCGCAGCATGGCAGGGGTCTGGGAGCAGCACCCCCATGTACCAGGTGCAGGCAGAGGCCTGTGGGTAGACCGGCTGGCCGTGGCCTTCTGCAGCTGAGTGCTGGTGCAGAACTTCCCATCCACAAGCAGGTCAAGGGCAGGGATGTGTCGCCTTCTCACCTTATAAGTAACACCGGCCGGGGTCCCTCATTCCCAGCCCGTGTCTGTGGAGGAGCGCAGGACAACTCTGACCCCATGCAGTCCTGGCCTACCCCATCATACTTGAATACTGCACCGCTTACAAACCTTTGTTCTCCGCTAGGAAGAGAGGACGCAGGGCCTTTGCACATGCTGTTCCCGCCGCTGGGAACACTCTGCTCTGCTCGCCCCTCCTCCTCTTCTGGGTTGGGCCACACGTTACTTCCTCCGAAGGACCTCTCCCTCAGCCTTGCTCTCCAAG